GAGCCAATAAATTAACACTTAATAAATGCCTGTATTTTCTTATGGTCTCTGGCAAGAAAAATCAATTTAACTAGAAAACATCTGGTGATGGTCATTAAAATTACTAGGAATCAAGTCAAAAGATTTGAAATCTGGTATACACTTGTAACACTTTTTTGTTCAGGTATTACATTTATTCTTGAGGCAAGTTTGCAAGTGAGCCACTCCTCCATAGTAAAATTATTCCCTCTCAACAGTGTATGCATATGACCACAAGTCTTGTTTTGGCAGTAGACTCTATATGGAAGACTGTAGATCAGTGGTAACCAACCTGGGGATCCCAACTGACCGGTAGATCCCAGAGCCTCTTTGGGTCGATCCTAGGCTGGGGGGACAGCTGGGTGTGTGCACATGTGCACACCCGCTGCCTCCAACCCCAGCAGGTCAGTCTGTGGGGGAGGGAAGGGACAGGGGACAGATCAAGGCCCCTGTGGTGAGCAACTGACTGTGCGGCCCAGCCAGGGGCAGAGGAAGGTAAGTGGAGCCCCAGCCTGGTCGGGTGGTGGGAGGATTGGAGCCTGGGGGGCTCCTCCAGGGGCATGGGGGTGCTCCCTCCCCATCTCTACAGGGGTGGAGACGGCTGCTGCTGCGCCTTGAGTTCAGCTGCAGCTGGCCATGTGCAGGTGCGGCTCAGCTCAGCAGCAGGGATTCGAATGGGAGCAGCCCTGGTCCAGCCAGGCCTGGGAAGATCTGATCGTCCAGGGGCATGGTGGGGGGCGGCTTCTGCCACTGAGCACAGCCTGGCAGAGGCCTCAGGAGTCCAGTCCTCTCCCCCACCTGTGCTCAGGGCGCAGCAGGCAGCCTGTGGCAGCAGCTGCCTCATCCCGACCACAGATGCAGGGCACATGGGCCCCCGGGGCCTCCCCTGGGCTGTGTCTAGTGGCAGGAGCCCCCCTATTTTTTTTATTTCAGTGATGGCCGAATCCCACTTCTGTGCCATGACTGCAGTGAGCCACGCCCACCTGGTGGCCAAACAAATGTGGCATCAGGCCCCAGCCCGGCCAGGTCTGGGACTCTCTGCGACCCAGGGGCCCATGGTGTCGGGGGGAGGCTCGCATTCCTGGGCACAGCCTGGTGGAGGCCCTAGGGACCCATGCCCCTCCCCTCCCCTCCCCCCCATGCTTGGGAAGACATGGCTGCTGCTGCGGGCTGCCCAGGGGCCCGTGCCCCCCCAGCCTGTGCTCCAGAGTCCTTGGGGGGGCCCGTGTCCCCTCCCTCCACCTGTGCTCTGGGTACAGCAGACAGCCCACAGCAGCCTCCTCCCAGAGTACAGATGTGGGGAGCATGGGTCCCTGGGGCCTCCACTGGGCTGCACCCAGGGGCGGGAGCCCCCCTCTCCACGCGCCTCTGGACTGTGGAGTGTCCCAGACTGCCTGTCAGCTTGATGCCATGCTCATCTGGCTGCCCGGTGGGTGCAGCTCAGCACAGCCAAGGCACGAAAGTGGGATTGGGCCCCAGCCCAGCCATATCTGGGAC